ATCCTACACCCACAGTTGATCCAGAGGAAGGCAAAAAACCCAGCAAAGCATGATCCAAAGAATGAAAATTCCTTCCTGATCTCCCGAGAGGCAATCGGATATTCTCTGGATCATCTTTATCTATAAATGTTAATATCCAGTTATATTCTGTGTATCTAAGAAAGAATCCAGGACTTTTTTTTAAGCAATCCACTGAGCTAGCAAGAACCAACTCTTGAGGGAGTCTATTCCACATTTTCACAGCTTTCACTGTGAAGAAACCTTTCCATATTTGGAGATTAAATTTCATTTCCTCCAGACGTAAAGAGTGCACCCTTGTCCTCTCAAGGTAAGGCATGTTCAGATACTAGTCCATCCTTCCTTAGCTATCCTACCAGGAAGCTGACACTGCAGACTGCCAATCATATTAACCACTTGCTCTCCTGAGGATTTACTCCACTTCCTGACCAGGCCATTTTTTGGGTTACATTAATTTAACTGACAATTGTGCGGTCATGCAACGCTGCACCCAAATGAAATTTACGTCTTTTTTCCCACTAATTGAGCTTTCTTTTGGTGGTATTTGATTGCCTGTGCGTTTGTATTGTTTGCCAAAATGTATTCTGCTACGTCTTTGCTAAGAAAAAATCCCAATACGTGTAAATTAATTGGTTTACATGAAAATTACTGTATAGTGTTTACAAAAAGTGGTATATATAGTGGAATTTTCATTTTATTTTTATTAGTAGTGGTGGCAATCAGCAACTTATAGTGGGACTGTGGCACTGCGGTGGACACTCTGACACTGGGGGGGAACTGGTTTGGTGTCACTGACATCCCCAGTGACACCAATACAGTGATCAATGCTAAAAAAAAAAAGCACTGACTGTATGAATGGCACTGGGCAGGAAGGGTTAACATGAGGGGTGATCAAAGGGTTAACTGTGTGCTGGGAGTGTTGTGTGCTGGGAGTGAAGGGGTTAACATGAGGGGTGATCTATCATGAGGTTTACTGTGTGCTTGGGGGTGACACTGGCTGTGTCAGTGTGCTTCACTGTAATCACACTGCTCTGGGTGGCTGTGATGTGCACAGCCATGCAGAGAAGTGTGCCCAAGCTGACAGGGAGGAGAACTGTTAGTAAACAAAACAGTCCTCCCTGTCAGAGATCTTCGGAAATCACCGGGCGCCGGCAAGTAATTACCAGCCTGGACCCGGTGATTGACAGTCACAGTGCGGGCCCCTTCCCAGAAGTGAAAATCACGTATATATACGCGATTTTGCGTACCCGTGCCGCCCTGTAGCAGTATTTCTGCTATAGGACGGATGGGAAGCAGTTAATATGATTATTATTAATATTATTGTACAGGATTTATATAGAACCAACAGTTTGTGCAGCGCTTGACAATATAAAGGGAGACAGTACAGTTACAATACAATAAAAAACAAAAGGATTGAGAGGGCCCTGCTCATGAGAGCTTACAATCTACTAGGGTGGGGCAAGTGGTTCAAAAGATTATAGCTGTGGGGGATGAGTTGATGGAAGTGATAAATGTTTAATTTGGAGGCGTGATAGGCTTCCCTGAAGAGACATGTTTTTGAGGGATTGCCTAAAGATAGCCAGAGTAAGGGATAGTTGGGCAGATTGAGGTAGAGAGTTCCAAAAGATGAGAGAGGTTCTGCCGAAGTCCTGGAGACGAGCATGGGAGGAGACAAGGGAACTTGAAAGCAGGAGATCATGAGAGGAGTGGAGAGGACGGTTTGGGTGATGTTTGGAGACAAGATTGGTGATGTAGCTTGGGGCAGAGTTGTGAATAGCTTTGTATATTGTTGTTATCACTTTGAATTTAATACGCTGGGCAATCGGAAGCCAGTGGAGGTATTGGCAGAGAGGGGCAACAGACACTGAGCGGTTGGTAAGGTAGACCAGTCTGGCAGCTGCATTCATGTTAGACTGAAGAAGGGATAGCTTATGGAGAGGTAGGCCTCTGAGAAGGGAGTTGCAATAGTCAAGACAAAAGATAACAAGGGAGTGAATGAGTAGCTTGGTAGTTTCACAAGTTAAATAGGGGAGAATTTTAGCAATGTTACAAAGGTGAAGTCTACAAGCTCTTGACAGCGATTGGATTTGGGGCCGAAAGGATAGGTCAGAGTCCAGGAATACAACTAGTACCCTGGATTGAGGGGACGGACTTATAGTTACATTAATGATCTGTATGGAAAAGTCATAGAGGAGGGCACGAACTGGGGGGGGGGGGGTGGGGGGGGGGGGGGGGGGGGGGGGGGTGGAAATATCAGCTTGGTTTTTTAGAGATTTAGTTTAAGGAAGTAGTGCGACATCCATGCTGATATGTCAGTTAGTAAGTTGATAATGCGAGAGGAGACGAGTGAGGTGAGGAGTAGAGAAACAGATTTCAGTCTCATCGGCATAGAGATGGTATTGGAAGCCATGGGAGGTTATCAGGTGACCAAGAGAGGAAGATAGAGAAGAGAAGGGGATAGAAAAACCAAGCATTGGGGAGCCCCTACAGAAAAAAGAAGTGGAGAGGAGGAGACAGAGTTATAGGTAACACTGAAGGAGCGTTGTGATAGGTAGGAGAACCAGGATAGTGCAGAGTCTTGGAGGCCAAGGTAGTGGAGTTTATTGAGAAGGAGTGGGTGGTCAACAGTATCAAAGGTTGCAGAGAGGTCTAAAAGTAAGAGTTTGAAGTAGTGGTCACTAGTTTTAGCAGTTAGTAAATGGTTAGTGAGTTTTAGTTGGGCAGTTTCTGTGGAGTGCTGCAAGCTAAAGCCAGTCTGTAAGGGATCAAGAAGGTTGTTTACAGTGAGGTAGAAGCTAGGACGGTTGTAGACTAAGCGTTCTAAAAGTTTAGAGGTGAGTGGAAGCAGCAAGATGGGTCTTACGTTGTTCAGGTTGGCGGGATCCAGTGAGTGCTTTTGAAATATGGGAGTGGTCTGTGCATGCTTTTGGGGAGGATTGAAAGGTGCCAGTAGATAGGGAGAGATTTAAGATGTGAATGAGAGCATAGGATAGAAGAAGAGGGTGACCATAGTAGTTGTGAGGGAACAGGATCCAGGGGACAGTTTGTTAGGTGGACATCTGAGAAAAGTTTGGTAACCTCTTTAGTAGTAGCCAGTTCAAAAGAGGAAAGTGTTAACTGCTGTTAGACAAGGTATGTTAAGTGGGCAAGATATCTGTATAGTGGATGTGACCTCACGTATTGCATCAATCTTGTCTTTGAAGTGATTGGCAATCTCTTGCGCAGTGAGCGAATTAGTGGGACAAGGGGATGGAGGACAAAGTAGAGAGGCAAAGGTAGTGAAGAGCCAACGATGACTGGATGACAAGCTATTAATAAGAGAGACAAAGTAGATTTGTTTGGCAGCATGGAGGCAGGAATTGTATTTTAGGATGGCAGATTTATATAGGGTGAAGTCCTGCAAAGATTTGTTTTTAAGCCACGGTCATTCAAAAGCATGACATCTCTTGAGATTTCTGGTGTTTGTTAGTTTGCCAAGGTTGTAATAGTTGGGACCTTATTTTTCATGTGGTTAGAGGAGCAAGTACATCCAGTGAGGATGAAAGTGAACTGTTGAGAGAGGTGAACAGGTTAGGACAGGAAAGGGGAGAGTAAGTAATCATTTGCTGTTTGGAGGAGTAGGTGGTTGGAGACAAGGATACTGTGAAAGTGATGAGGTTGTGATCAGAGATACATCAGAGATGAGAAATACAAGGTCAAGGGTATTACCATTGGAGTGAATGGAAGTGTATGTCCATTGTGTTGGGTCAAAAGATGAGGTTAAATTAAGAAGTTGAGCTGTAGCCGGGCTGTTAACGTTAAAAGGGATGTTAAAGTCACCAAGAATGGTAGTGGGTATTTCAGAGGAGAGAAAGTAGGGTAGCCAGCCAGAGAAGTCATGACACAAGTGTGGTACTGGTCCAGAAGGCTGATAAATCACTGCAATCCTCAGAGAAATTAGAGAAAAAAGATGAATACAGTGCTTCTCAAAAGAAGAGAGGGAGGGGTAGGAAGGACCTGGAAGGTGCTCTGTGGGGATAGAAGCAATCCAACTCCATCTCCTTTCCATCCACTAGGTCTGGGTGAGTCCATGGAGGCCACCATTGGAGAGGGCAGCAGGAGAAGCCAAGTCAGAATCTTGAAGCCAGGTTTCAGTTATGGCAAGTATGTTAAAGCAATGGGAGATAAAAGGACATGCACAGATGTGAGCTTGTTACAGACTGACCTGGCGTTTCAGAGGGCACATGAGATTGAATTAAACTGAGTAGATTGTGGCTGTTGCCAGAGGAGGAAGGGTGCTGGATATGGGGGGTGCAGTTAGAAAACGGGGGACTAGGATTGGGGGAGATGTCCCCAGAGTTTAGGAGAAGAAGGGTGAGGAAAGTAAGATGGGAGCAGGGTGTATATTAGCGCACATATTTCACTGCCCTGGTGTTTGGGTCAGAAAAAGGGAGCGGGTAGGCGTAAGGGTGATATGTATAAGCTGTGGGGTGGAGATGAGGGGTAAAGTAAGGACAATTTGAGGACAGAGAACACTAACGTGAGAAGGAAGAGTAGAGGGAGCATATTAGTGGGAAACAGACTTCATAGGAAAATAAATATCAAATGTTGATTTGCTTGCTGTTCTTTCAGAGTGGAGCAGAGTTCTTATATCTTCAGACAGGTTTAGTTATCCTGCTTTAGTTATCCTGCGGCATTGAAACTGTGACAAAGAAACATGGTGTCTGCGACTAAACCCTGTTTGCAACTTCCCTATAAGCTGAAAAAAATTTTAGGGAGATGGAACTGGCAAACATTTGTCAATTGTTGAAATTAGGATTTAATAACAGACACTTGAAGGGGAGGGGAAAGAGGGAAGAAAAAAAAAAAAAAAAAACAGACCAGCCACAGCCCAAAGTCATAAAAGGTATTACCGTTTTTTTCGCTCCATAAGACACACCTGACCATAAGACGCACCTAGATTTTAGAGGAGGGAAAACAAAAAAAAAAATTCTGAACCAATGGACTGCAGACATAGTACAGGAGATGACCAGAGATTGCAGACATAGTACAGGAGATGACCAGAGACTGCGGACACAGTACAGGAGATGACCAGAGACTGCGGACACAGTACAGGAGATGACTAGAGACTGCAAACACAGTACAGGAGATGACCAGAGACTGCGGACATACTACAGAAGATGACCAGAGACTGCGGACATACTACAGAAGATGACCAGAGACTGCAGAAAGAGTACAGGAGATGACCAGAGACTGCAGAAAGAGTACAAGAGATGACCAGAGACTGTGGACACAGTACAGGAGATGACCAGAGACTGCAGACACAGTACAGGAGATGACCAGAGACTGCAGACACAGTACAGGAGATGACCAGAAACTGCGGACATAGTACAGTAGATGACCAGAGAGTGCAGACCTTTGGGGGGGGGGGGGCGTGTACCCGAAATTGACAGGTACCCTCTCCCACTTCTGTGGAGTTGTCCTCCCCCCCCCCCGGACATAGTACAGGAGATGACCAGAGACTGCGGACATAGTACAGGAGATGACCAGAGACTGCGGACATACATAGTACAGGAGATGACCAGAGACTGCGGACATAGTACAGGAGATGACCAGATGACCAGAGACTGCGGACATAGTACAGGAGATGACCAGAGACTGCGGACCACACTGAAGATGAAAAGAAGACGGCCGATGGAAGCAGGACACTGCTGAACCGAGGAACAGGTTCTTCTACACAGTAGAGCCAAGCAGCCAGCCTGGTATTCTAACTCAGCGGTGGCGAGGTGGAGGTTCGCAGACAATTACGGGCATATGGCATAGCAGTGTTAATTAGCAGTCATACATGGCAATAGAGAGAATACAGATGAATAAGTACGGATGGATATTTCTCGCAGACATTTACCCTATAGCACAGCAGTGTCAATCATAAGTGGCCGTGGCTCTTCCCACTGCTTGTATACCTGCAGTTGCTGTGGGGAATGTCTTCGGTGCGTATGTTTGGCAGTCGCAATAACTGCTTACTGGCGGGATAGTTTTGGGGGTCCAGAGTATGCCTGAGCTCCTCCCTACTTGCTTGTACATAGAACATTGCAAATTGGCACAGCTGAAGTCATCATTGCGTAACCTCAGCCTTCTGTGTGTCATCAGTAAATTACTGAAAAAGGATTTCTATGACATGCAAATTTACCTCTCCACCCCTCACCTCACCCCTGCAGTCTCCGCCCGTATCACCCACCTACTGAACGACATATCAGACTGGATGTCGCTCTATTTCCTCAAACTAAACCTTTCCAAAACTGAGCTCCTAATTTTCCCCCCAGCGTGCGCCCCCCCCATCCTCTCCATCATGACCAACAACGCCACCATCAGTCGCACCCTGCAAGCCAAAGTCCCAGGTGTCACTCTAGACTGAAACCTGTCCTTCTAACCGCATGTCCAATCGCTGGCAAACTCATGCAGGCTCCACCTCCGCAACATCTCCAAAATACGTATGTTCCTAACCCCAGACACTACTAAACAACTTGTTCACTCCCTTATTATCTCACGTCTGGACTACTGCAACTCCCTTCTCACCGGCCTACCCCAACACAGGCTATCCCCGCTTCAGTCTATCCTAAACTCAGCGGCCAGAGTCATCCACCTTACCAACCGCTCCGCATCTGCCACCCCCCGCTGCTTCCCCAGATGTGCGCTGTATTACAATCAATGCGCATTATAATTTATGGTCTGGTGAGTATACATCCGTACCAAGGGTGGATTTCCTTTTACAAGCTTTTACACAGTTACTCTTCACGGATAACTTCATGTGCCAATCATAGACATTTCTTCAGCTGATATCTTTGCACAAGAGATGTTTTAAATTCACAAATGCTCTGATGAACTTATTTTTATTACATTTTATGTCATCTTGAACTAGTTATATTAATATTGCACTTTCAGCACTTACTCACATATGCGTTTAGGTCACATGCATTGATGGAATTTATGACATGCATTTTTTAGCGCTGCACTAATATTTTGGAACTTGGGATTCTGGTACTGATACCTATACCCTGAGTGCTAGCTACTTTTAATTCATTTGAATATATATAATTTTAATATCATTTACTGCATTTAGCGCTCGCTCTATTCTTTTCTACATACTTTGATCTAGAGTGTACACATGGTCCTTCTCCGAAGAGAAAGGACTCTGGCCCTGATCCTTTGGAGCGAAAGACTCCTAACATGTACTGGGATACTTGTGGTCCACCCTGCTGAAGCCAAGCAGACTCCATTCTTCAGGGGACCTGCCGAGAGAAGGTCCACCTAAGTACTAGCTGGTGCTCCAGTGAAGGGAGATCCCATGGGAGGGGGAAAACCTGACCATGTGCACTCGGGCCCCCCAAGACTTTCAGGGCAAGTCCAAGGACCTACATCCTATTAATTGGGAGTGAGTAAAGTGCATTGTGCTGTGCAAAAAATATATAAGTGCTATGGGTGCCAAAGTGCAGGACTATGGCGGGCCTTCCAGCTGGTATAAGGACTCCTCCGGTTTCAGCTAAACCCAAGAAGCACATGTGATAAAGAGCATGCAGAAGTGGTGCCTTACTAAAAACGGTGAGTTACCCCAAAGTGAATTATGCTGGCACCCCTGGACTACCACTCCAGGGACACAATCACAGCAGGCTTTTCTCAGCCCAGAGCCTATTTCTAAAAATGTTAAAAACTGAATCAGCTTCTCACCTTTTTGTTTTTCTGTCCCTTTTCCTGTGTATCATCAAATAATTGATCCATATGCCAGTAAGATGGTGTGACGTACCTGTATGAGAAACTCGAGATGATAAAAGGTAGCCACTTGCACAATTCCCGTCTGAGCACCCCTGAAGTTGGTGACGGGGAGTAAAAGGCTTGTATTACAAGTAATTATGTTGGTCACAGTGCTACACTGATTTTGTAGTTTTTTCAAATAGTGCACTGGAAACTGGGTGTATATAATTGAAACTTAAAAGCACTGGAAATTAAAACTGTTTTCTTGTTTTAACTAGGTATTAGTGTAGTTGTGTTCACTGTGTTGTTTGTTCACCGCAAAATGTAATGGTGGGCTCACACATCAGTTTGTGATGTCAAGGCTGATTGATTCCCCTATGTCCATGTATTCATTCACCTACAGTAGATTGTTGCTATTTGGTTAGGCTGTTGAAAGCTTGCTTGCTATTGTAATCTGTGTGAACGGTCACAGTAATCACATGGTACAGGGCAGTCACAGCAGCCCGTTACCATGCGATAGCTGTAGTCAATCACAACAATTACAATTGTAAACAATTAGTCATGAAAGAAAGCTATTCATGACAGTTAAAACAATTGCTTTTACAGTGATTCCCTAGTCACAGTGATCAGCACCACAGCAGTCGTGTGACCATAAAAACTTTTTCACATGTGCGATGCTCTCTAAAGAGCCTTCCATGTTTGGATCACTCTTCAGAGAGCATTTTACAGGCAGTGAGGAGGCATTGTATCACCTCCTCAGCACCTGGACCACTTGGACCACGCACAGGCAACCCCATTCACTTGAATGGGTTATGATCGGCTTGTGTACAGGGGGTATAATTTTTCCATAGCTGCGAAGCAAAGCATCACAACTATGGCAGGTGTACACACCCAGCCACTGACTCTGCAGCTAAAGTGGGTAGTGGTGGAGGGGAGGTAAAACTTCAGCTCAACTGCAAGGTTTTGCTGCCCCCCAGCATCATGTGTGAACAAGCCCTAAAAGTGCAGCCAGTCACAGTTCTTTGATCACCACCACACCTGCCACAGTGTCGCCATGTCGCCAGACCAGTGTGGCTAGAATCAGTGATCCTGATTTGCCTGTTTATTGACCACATTTCTGCCTGCTGCCTGGACCAATCATTTGCCTGTATGCTGACCATGTCTCTGTCTGTGCCTGAACTGCCCCACCTGCATGCCCGACTGACTATGTTCCTGGGAGATACCAGTCCCAGCCATAACCTGTGGACAACAGCACTTCTGGAGCCAGAGGAATCCTTGTGTTCTTCCTTTTTTAGCCTCCTGTACTTTCTGGCCCGTGAACATGGCATTCCTGGGGGTAGCCAAATACCATTAGGCTAAGCTTGCTTGACTTATAGGAACTGGTACTGCTATAGGTGACGCTACCCTAAGCTATATTCCCTGACTACTCATATAGAGGCAACTATACAGTACATTGATTTTGATACAATTGGTTGATTTGTGTGATACACAAGATACAATGTCTGGTATATAATCAGTCCAGACACTGAAAGTAGCAGAATGTGTTTTGGGGTGTAAGTACAAGTATGTTGTATGCGAAAAATATCTTAACATTAAACATTAAATTGACAACTTTGTGTATAGAAATTCATTTTAATTTTCATTCCCCGTTCTCCAAAAACTTGTGACAAAAAAATTAAGTCTTCAAAAGACTCACCATACCTCTTAGAAAATATCTTGGGGCAGTGGCGTAGCTACAGGGGTTGCAATGGCGACAGCAGCCCTGCTCCAGGGACGAGGCCCGTGCGGCTGGTAGAGAATGGCTGTCAGACTGAACTCCCTTCCTCAGCCAAACTGTACATCGGCACTGGGAGCTCGGTCAGACAGTGAACACACTCAAGAAAGTGAAAGCAAAGGAGGGAGAGGTGTCTTCCCGAGTGCTGTGCTCTCTGCCTTCCCCTACAGTGCAGTACCCGGCTGTGTGATTGAAGGTATTGTACTTAGGATGAGATAAGGGGGAGTGGATGCCACTCAGGACCAGCCCCAGGAATTCAGCATGTATGTGTAGGTGTAGAGTGGTCTCAGCACCACGTTAGCCATGCCCCCTGACACGTTTCGCCCCGCCCATCAGTGGTAGCTCGGTCTTATGCACCTTTGGTAAGTGATGGAATATAGGTATTACAGGAGAATCAGGCACAAGTTTTTTTTACTTTGTCTGGTTTTAATATGTTCAAACTAGCGGCCTCCTGTATAATATTTTCCAATTGTTTATACAGGAAAGTAGGATACCAAAAGTGCATAAGACCGAGCTGTCACTCAAAGGAAGATCCATTGTGGCGAGCATAGGCTCTCTTGGAGATCATCTGGGTAATCTCATGGACAGTTTACTTTTAGCCTTTAGTGACTGCCTAACATCTTATATTCGAGACACAAAATATATCATTCAGGTCTTTGAAAAGTTTCCTTGGATGGAGAATTGAGGTGGTTAACTTGTGATGTACAATCACCATACTCTTGTATTCCACATGGCTTAAGCCTTCAAGCCCTGAAGTACCATATGGACCTGTACACCAAAAATGAACTGAAATGGTTCATCCTAGAGCAGTGGTTCTCAACCTTCCTAATGCCGTGACCCTTTAATACAGTTCCTCATGTTGTGGTGACCCCCAACCATAAAATTATTTACCCAGTAATTATAATTCATGAGTGTCGTTTTACCTCCAATACTGCTGCTTTCAACACAGTAGCTGCTTTTAACAGAGTAGCTGCTTTCTACACAGTAGCTGCTCTTTACACATCGGAAATATGTGTTTTCTGATGGTCTTAGGGACCCCTGTGAAAGGGTCGTTCGACCCCCAAAGGGGTCGCGACCCACAGGTTGAAACCACTGTCCTAGAGTGTCTCTTTCCTGTTGAAACATAACTTTTTTTCTGTTTGATCAAAAGTTCTATTTACAGCCTCAATGGGTACAACTAGACACCTCTGTGATAGAATGCGTGATCACATTTCCAACATAAAAGCCAAACTGTCACACTGTTCACTTCAGGCTGGTCAAATTTTATTATATTTGCTACTTTATCGCACTTAATAAAGATGCACCTTCATTAGGGTGCTTGACTGAGAGCATTTTCCACAGCGCGTATTCTTTTCAGTTCTCTTCATCAATACAGTTTTTGCAGTGTTTTTTATCTACTTCCATTTTTTTCTCCCTTTTT